CTCGCGTCCGATGCGACACAGGTACTCACCGAAGCAGCCATGCCCGGTAAGTGGGCCTTGAGCAGAGACTCAATATCCTTGAGCTCTACCGGCTTCACCGCAGGGTGCTCTTTGTCCCGTTGGGTGCCAGTATCCGGCGGGGGTGCTGTCGCCTCCTTACTTCTCTCTCTTGCCGTGCTCGGAGGGGGAGAGATGTCCATCTCCCGCACCGGACTCGAACCACGGGAGGGCCGCGACCGGTCCTTAGGTCGTCGCGGTCTGGCCTCTCGCTGCGGGAGTGGAGGTGGAGCGTCTTTNATGGGAGGTGCGGCAGAGGCCNTGAGNTTAGCGAAACCTATCGCTGTGAGCTTCCGCCGCAGATCCTTTAACTCGTCGTGAAGCGCGTCCANCTCACGCTTCAAGACGANGTTTTCTCTAGAGACGCTGTCCAGTTTCGCCTGGACAGCGTNTNTATCGGTCCTCAGGGAGGAGACCGTGCCTCGTAGCTCGCCCACCTNGCCGTCCAAACGACGGTTCAGCCCCTCCAGCCGCNGGACCTCACCCTCAGTGTCCATACGGCTGGACAGGAAGGAAATTGGTAACCTAACCTAACCTTATTTTTTTNTATTTTTTTTACGTGGGAGAAATCCTTTATGAATACCCAAACCCTGGGGGAAAGGCCAGGGTTATGCGGNAGTCCCGCTCTCCACCCGCAAGTGGAAGAGGTGTACCCGCTAAAACTCCCACGGTGTGTCTTCCTCGCTCTTAGTAGGAGGGGACCCGGGATTCCATTGTAAAGATGCACGCGGATCCCTTCCTGGAGCTGTTAGCTTCCGTGAGGAAGAGAATGATTGATTGAGAACAGGTTTTCGTTCATGTCTCCTCCCCAAGCGTTGGTCGCTCCAACCTTTAACTTGATGTCACCATGGGACACACCGTGATGACACCCCGTCTCTTGGGCCGTGTGCAGGACGAGCCGAAGCCCCCACCTCGGCTCGTCACGGCCCCGCGGCGGCTACTGAACAAAAACACACACACAATCGTGGTGGACGGTACCACCACGGCAATTTCAGCCGCCGCCCGCTTGTTCACGCGTTCTAGACGCGGCCTAGGGATCGGTGAACTAACGAGAGACCCGGCTTATCTCAACGCCCACCGTCCCGCAATATACAATTGAGTCCCTCCTATTTTCCTCACAAAGAGAAAGGGGAGACTCATTGTCAGGTGGGGGGCGCGCCACGACCCCTAGGACGTACGCGGGAAGCGGGGGCCCCGCCAACCGCTCGCGTACGTCTTTGGGGTCTTTCCAGAGGAAGTGGTAGTCTCTCCCTCTCTCGTTCGGCTGCCTCCTTCTGCTCCATCACCGCGGAGCAGAAGGTGACAACCGNTTCCCACTCGTCTCTCTCCCTGGAGGCCAATGCCCGTAACAGGCCCTNCAGGGAGNGGTCATCTCCTATTTTAACGACTAGNTCTCGGCGCTCCGGAGCCCACCGTGGACACTNTTCCACAATGTGCTCCACCGAGTCACTGGCCGCCCCGCACGCGTGACATTGCAACGTTNACTCGNGTCCGATGCGACACAGGTACTCACCGAAGCATCCATGCCCGGTAAGCACCTGCGTCACGCGGTAGGTAAGGCGTCCGACCCCGTTGTCNAACCACACTCGTAAGTGGAATCGGACGACCCGGACAACTTCTTGAGCGTCCACGTTTGGCTCGCTCAGGAGCTGCTCCCAACCAAGGAGCAGTTGTCGCCAGGCTTGGCGCTCCGACCTGGCAAGGGCCTGCTGCAGAGCATCCGCAGCAAGTCCCACCTGTTGGAGTTCGACCCGGCGAGAATATCTCGCCGAGTACATGCCAGCAAGGAGGGCACGGGGAGGCATCCCCGCCAGTACGCCCGCCGTCTCTCTCGCCACCGTACGGAAGCCGCATATCACGCGAAGGGCTATTACTCGTTGGGAAGCGCGGAGCGATGCGAACTTACTCTGCGCTCCTGCCCTCGCAGCGGCTTCCGCCCACAACGGTGGCCCCATACAGGGCCACCGAGTGGACCACGTTGGCGTAAAGACGGTGAGTTTTATGCTTTGGTCCTCCAAGGTTCGGCTGAATACGCGCCAGAGCGTTGGCGACCTTCCGAACCCGGGGAGCCAGGCAAGCAAAGTGCTCGTCAAAGCGCCACTTCGGATCGAGGTAAAGACCAAGGAATTTAATAGTCGTACCTACCTCGACCCGTGCCTCACCTACGGAGAGACCGAGCGCTGGGGGCCGTCCACGGAAGTGGTTGAAAAACCAAATGGCTTCCGTTTTGTGGACGGCCACTTCAAGGCCCAGTCTCTCGATGCGGTCAACGACGCAATTCGTCCCAACCTCTGCAAGCAACCTGGTTTTGCTCCAATCGTCCCTAGAGGCAACTATCAAGGTGTCATCTGCGTAGCAGATGACTGATAGCCCTCTGGAAAGCGCGGCCTGGATCACCGCATTGTACCCGAGGTTCCACAGCAGCGGGCCAAGAACTGACCTCTGCGGAACCCCGCGGTACATCCTCCTTTGCTGCAGTGATCCGTACCGGCCGGTATACGTAATCTCCCTGCCACGTAAGTAGTCTCCGAGGAGCCTATTCAGATAGGGCGAGACTCTGTGACGTTCCAAAGCCCACCCTATACTGTCCCAGGGGAGAGAATTGAAGGCGTTGGAGATATCGAGAGATACTGCCAACACCCTCTTCCTCTGCCTGGTCGACGCTTCCGTGAGGGACTTAAGGTGGAACACAACGTCCACCGTTGAGCGTCCTTNGCGGAATCCGTACTGACAGTCGGCCAGGTCGGGACCCTCCCGTGACATGTGCTCGACGAGGCGGTTGGCAACAATGCGCTCCAGGAGCTTGTCCGCCTCGTCGAGTAAACAAATCGGCCGGTACGCGGATGGCAAATCCGCAGGCCTTCCTCCTTTGCGGAGCAAAACCAATTTAGCTTGCTTCCAATCTGGGGGGAACCAGCTGGTCCTCAGGCAGTCTGTCAGGATCTGCCTGAGGCGCTCTCCCAAGGGACCCTGTCCGAAGGCAAAGCCCAACACTTTGCCGAGCACGCCGTCGGGATTGGGAGCGGTATTCTTCCTCGTCATTCGACGGACGGCCCGGCGGAACTCCTCTTCTGTGACTCCCAGTTCGTTGGACCACTCAATCGGGTGGTCCAACTCCGGCTGCTGGGAGGGCCAAGTGCCTTTCCCGCCGGGGAAGAGGGTCGAGACCACCCTGTTCAACAACTGGGGATCCAGGCTCTCCGTGACCGGCGGAGTCCATGGGCGTAACTTGCCCATTACCAAGCGGTATGGGCGGCCCCATGGATCCGCGTCGATCGCCTCGAGGAGCTCCTGCCACGCTCGGGACTTTGCCTTCTTAATGGCGTTTCTGAGGGCTTTACGCGAGACGCGATAGCCCTCGTAGGCCGTTTCCGCTGCTNGGATTGCCTCGTCGCCGCGATGGATTCGGCGACGGGCATGTGTGTACCGGTGGTGGGCTCGAACGCTTGCCCTGCGGAGATCGGTTATCTCCTCCGGCCACCAGTACACAGACCTCCGACTCGGTGGCCCGCGAGAACGTGGCATGGCCGCGTCGCAGATCATGACCAACGTCTCGCGGAACCACCGGAGCTCCGCTCGGAGGTCGCGCGGCCCGGCCGGTGGACTTGGCCAGAGCGGCCTGAGCAGCGGCAGACAGGATACTTGGGTTTAGCTTTCTAAGGACNNACTTTTGGGAGCGGGAGTGTCGTCTCTCCCCGTGGCGACCTCGAAAGGGGCTAGGGAGCTCGGAGANCTTCATCGTAATGTAACGATGATCGGAGAGAATCTCCAGATCGTCCCTGACTTTCCACTCGGACACACGTGCAATGGCGGACGGGGAAGCAAAGGTCACATTGACGATGGATCTCCCGTTGCGCCTCACGCACGTGTGTTGCGTGCCCTCATTGACTGTGGCAAAGCCGCAGGCCGCCATGCATTCTTCGAGGGCCCTTCCACGTNCATCGGTCCGGGGGGAACCCCAAGTCACCGACTTGGNGTTAAAGTCCCCCAAAACCAGTAAGGGACGGGGCTGGATGCGGCGTATCACCCGCTCCAGCCCGTTCAAGAACTNCTCGAATTCGTGGAAGGGCCTCGTGGGGGAGAAGTAACACNCCACGATTGCCAGTTCCCCCCATTTGCATGCGACAAACCCCTCTCTTGAAGACGCTGCAGTTGTTGGTGCAGCGGCCGGTACTTCTACCTGAAGAGAGGACTGGATGCCACTCCTTTGTGCGGTTTTGTGCGCCCGTTTACCCTTGCCGGGGGCAGGAGCGCACGCTCTGCTTCTCAGGTGGTGGTTTGCGGGACGCCCAAGATCCGCGCATAAAGGTTGCCACAATTAAAGCAGCGGCCCTTTCTGTCTTCTTTTGGCGCGGTAAAAGTGCACGCGGCCATCACATGCCCGCGCCGGAGACATCTGTGTCATTGGAGTGGCCGCTTCTCCAGTACCTCTATGGGTGAACGTACCCAGCCGACCCTGAGCGTCCCGGCTTCGACAACCTTTCGGGCAGCGGTCAGTGGGCACTGCACCCATGCTGTGGACAGCCCACCGGGGGAGGCACAAGGTTAGCCGGCCTTAACCTCGGTCGACCGGCAGCCCCCGGCAGACGCCACAGCTTCTTTGATCTCCTCGGAGGAGATCGACTCGTCGAGACCTCGAACACGTAATTCAACGGTTTTCGTTGGTCTCGCGAGTCGTCCCCCCTTCTCGGACACCAAGGGGAGCATCGCGTTGTACAACGCCTCCGCCTTGGCGTCGCTAT